CAGGGATAATGGGGCTCAGTTGCAGGGTGGTGACAGCTCAGGGCTGGGAACTAGGCTAATCTGTGATCTGCTCCCTGTATGCCCTGCCTGGTGGGGGGAGAGGCATGGGGAGAGTATGTGTGCATGTGTGGGGGGAGGCTGCCTGGGCACTAGGTCTGGGGAGCCAGCAAGAGGTAAGGGGAGGGAGGGGGAAGCAGGGGGTGTGTGCAGCAGAACCAGCCTAGGTGGTGTGGTCTGCAGCTGCTCCCATGGTACTCTTCATGGGGCTGAGCCTTACCAGGGGCAGCCCATGCGGCACTCCAGCCCACACCACACTCCAGCACACACCCACTGACCCAGCCCCAGCCCCAGCCCCAGCCACTGTGATGCAGCTGTACCCAGCCGGGTGCTGCTCTGCTCCCCTCGCCTCCAGTGGGAGCAACCCTGTTGAAGCTTCCCCACCTACCTGGAGTGGTGCAGCAGGGACATGAGAGGTAGGAGGAGCCACCAGTGGAGACACGGGGAACAGAACAGCACCAAGCTGGCTGCAGCCACATCAGGAAAAGCCCTGCCAGAATCTGAATGTGCTGAATGTGCTGGAGCCCAGGCTGGCAGGGCTGTTCTGCTCCTCTCACCTCCAGCACCCGCTCCTCCTCCCTGCCCCTGCTGTGCCACCCTGAGTGGGAAGGGAAAAGCAAAGCCCCACATGGTGAGGCAGGAGCCACCTGGCTGAGTCCCCCCACACTGGGAGTAGTGCAGCAAGGGCAGGAGCAAGAAGAGTTGCTGCTGCTGGAGGTGTAGGGAGTAGAACAGCTCTGCCAGCCTGGGGCCACAGCCCCAGCCAGTGCGTAGGTTCTGGCAGGGCTGTTCCCAGTGCAACTGCAATCAGCCAGGTGCTGCTCTCCTCCCCTCACCTCTGGCGAGAGCCACCCTGATGAAGCTACCACTCCCTGCCTGCCTAGAGTGATGCAGCAGGGGCAGGAGTGAGAAGAATAGCTGCTGCTAGAGGCATGGGGATCAGAGCAGCACCTGGCTGGCTATAGCCACATCAGGAACAGCCCCACCAGAAGCTGCATCTGCTGGCTGGGCCCAGGCTGGCAGGGCTGTTCTGCACGCCTTGCCTCCAGTGGTTACTCGTCCTCCTGCCACTGATGCCCACAGGGAGGGTGAGCAGAGGGGAAACTTCAGTTGGGTGGCTCCCGCTGGAGGTGAAGAGAGCAGAGCAGCACTGGGAACAGCCCCACCAGAAGCTGTATGTGCTTGTCCGAGCCCAGGCTGGCAGACGCAGGCAGGAGTATGGTGTGGGCTCCCCCGGCAAGGGAAGGTAGGGCTGGGGCTCAGCCCCAGGCACAGCACCACCGGGCAATCCATGGGCTGGATCCAGTCAGTTGGCAGGCCAGATCTAGCCTGCAGGCCACATTTTGCCCACCCCATTCTAGATTTTAGCTTAAAATGTCCATTACTTTTTAAGAATAAACAACAGTGCAGGCCAGGTTATATTCTGTAATATAAGAAATTACTGAGCAGCCTATATAAACAAAAACTTGCAATAACTGGCTTAATTAAATGGATCAGACATCAGGCTGAACACTTGATATGACAGTTTTCCTCTCTCCTCTCAGATATACTTCATCTTTAAGGACAAGTATCAGCCAAAAAAACCCAGCATTGTGTCCTTAACTGCATGCTGAGACACTGGCTCCATATTAATTCAGTCAAGAGAGCTGCTTGCTGACCCTCAACACCACCTCCAGCAGCAGCTGAATTTGTGGAGATTTCCTATCCAAGTGCTGACCTAGTCAGGCTTGGATCTAACAAAATCCTAGTGCAAAGGAAGAATTGCTGCAGCATACACAGGAAAAGCAGCAAAAAACCCAACAGTGATAGCTATTTTCCCCTCGTGAAAAAGATTTTTTTTCACCATTTGAAATGAGCAGAATCAAGAGACAACATATTTTGGTTTCACAGTTAAAAAAAAAAGAAATGCTATAGTCCATTTAATCACCAGTCCTATTGCAAATATTTAAATGCTCAGCTTAATCCACAGTCAAGTACGTCAAACTGATGCTGGAGAGAGTAACATATGTTTATAAAGAAAAGGTACCAAAAATGGGCATTCAATTCTGGTGATAGTATTTTGTTTTCATTTGCTTCTTATTGATAACATCAAAATAAGCTCTTCAACCTGAACTGCATCATAATGTAAATATATGCCACAGTCAATCTTTTCTTTCCTCATTGTCACTCACTTATGAGATTTCTTCCAGTTTGTTCCGCTAGGTCCTGCTCCACAGTCATAAGCCTGGATGATGAATGTGTACTCCTTCTGCAGTTCACAGTCAATTGGACTTTTTGCTCGAAGACGACCTTCTCCAGATGTCTTGTTTAGCACAACAGCTTCAAAGGGCATTTCCTGCCCATGAATTTTAAAAGCACAGATTTCACCTGTAAAGAATAACATGAGAATATAGTTAGGAAGAACTGATTCATGCACATTTAAGTGACAACACACATACTGGCAACTACTTGTTTTTCAAACATGAACTATTCTCTAAACATAATAACAACCCATATTTCCAGCTGAAATAAAAGGAATCTCATCTAAAGAAACCTGTATCATCATCCTGATTTAGCAGAAAACAGTTCTTCAGAAAAAAGTTTATGTATTCATCCTCTGTGGGTGCATCTACATGAGATGCTTACTGCATATTAGCCTAATAACACTGTGCAGTAGCATGGCAGTTAAAAACCATGCTAACAGCCTACTGCGTAGTGTTATTAGGATAATGTGCAGTAAGTGTCACAAAAAAACTGCGCTGGTGCTACTACACAGTAAATCTAGTTACTGTGCATTTAGTCAGTACTTCATTAAACAAGTACTAAACTAAATGTGCTGTAATTAGGGTGCATTAACAAACATGTAGATTCACCCTGTCTTTACAAAATGCCACAGCTAGAGCACAGATCATCAGACTTCTCCATTATGTGCAGGAAAAAAAAGTATGTAACGTTTCTTGTGAGAGAATATATATATTTGATAAAGTTACAGTGGTAGCAGAGCAGATAATGGCCTCGTGAATTTGCCAAAGGATCAGTACAAAGTTATTTTGTATAGATGTTTTAACAAGTATAACAATGAGAAAATACATATGGCCTATCCCTACTTGGATTTGGCTCCATCACCCCTCCAAATGGCCAGATATCAAAATCTGAAGGTATGGTAATATTTTAAAACAACAGTCTCTCCTCACTCTGTCTGGAAAATGCCTGAATGCTAGAGCTTTATCCAGGTGGAGTGGATTTCACCTTCAGTCAGGTTCTGGTAGGGCTAAGATCCTGTGATCTGGTTAGCTGTAATGGGAGGTCTGGGTACTCAGCATCCAGGATCAGGGTTGGATAGCTATTTATGAACTCTAAGGGCACATCCACACATGCAAGCATGTGTGCTTGCAGCAGCTCAAATAGAAGCAGTGCAGATTTGAGCTGGGGCTTTTTGCCTCAACGCACGTGCTCAGACATACACTTTGGTGTGAAGCAAATTGTACCACTTGGGGCAAAATAATCCTGCCTGGCTCCTCCTGGATTTGCAGCCAGGGGGAGCTAGAGCTCAGGGCCAGCACCTGTACTGTCCCCAGCAGTATAAAAAGCTGCTGTGTCCTGGCCCCATCCATATAAAAAGCTGCCCTGGCAAGCAGCTCAGGGCTACTCGCTCTCTGGAGCTTCTGGGGCCCAGTCAATTGATACCTGGGGATACTACCCCTTGTGCCAGCTGGACTGCTGCAGCAGCATCCCAAATCCATTTTTTAAAATACCCCCAAATCCATGTTCTTCCACATGTAAAACAAAAACAAAAAAAAAAACACTCTATACACACACATCAAGAGAGAGAGACAGTGATAAGTTAGGTAAGGCTGTATTGGTATATTTACAATGTTAAAGCAATTTGGAAGCCAAGCAGTATCTATCATAATGAAAAAATAAATTCTAAATACCTATATGTGTTGATGTGTGCTTTTGGTTTTCTTCATACATGATGGGTATGTGATGGGGGGATGTGGTGTTTGTAGAAAGGGAGTGATAAGGGGTGTGGGGGAAGGCAGGTGGGTGGATGTGGAGGGATGTGGGTTGGTCTGTGGGTAGGAGTGGGGCAATTGCTGGGGGCACAGTGGATGTGGGGGAACTTGTGTGAGGGCTGCTCAAGAGGGGTGGGTCCCCTGGCTCCCACACAGTGCAGGCCCCCTAGCACATGGAATTCCCTTTCCCACCCAGGGTCCCAGCTCCACCCTGGAGGGCCACAGCCCCTATACCCCCCAGGGTCCCATCCCCCCTGCCCAGGGTCCCAGGCACCCTGGAGGCCCCCCACCCAGGGTTTCAGCTCCACCCTAGAGGGCCATAGCCCTTATCCCCGACAAGGCCCCAGCCCCCTGTCCAGTGCCCATAACTAACCTTTAACAGCAGCACCAGGGGGACCATGTGCTGAGCCCAGCCTGGTTCTGCTGGCCCTGGGGCTCCTCTTACTGCCCAGCCGGGCTGGTCTTGTGGCAGCAAGACCCAGTGCAGCACGCAGGGACTGCATGCCAGGCCCAGCCAGGTCCTGGCCCCATGGTGACAGGACCCAGTGTGGCATGCGGGGACCATGTGCCAGGCCCAGCCAAGTCCTGTGCCCCCTCTGCAGCCCAGATCCCTGAGGCTCACCAGTCCGGGTTTGCACCAGACTGGGTCGCACGGCTCCAGGAGGCATGCACAGGAGCCGCACCTCCCAAAGCCCTGTGACCCACTCCAGTGCAAGGCTGGACTAGTGAGCCACATGGGGCTGCATTTGGTCCTCACCCCCCTGCAGGCACAGGGGGCAGAGGCAGGAGCCGGCCCTGGGGCCCAGCCCACGCTGACAGGAGCTGGCATGGCATGCGGTTCCCATGCACTGCACCGGGTCCTGGTACACCGGCACAAGTAGCTCCAAGGCCAGGAGGGCCTGGCTTGGCTTTGCGTGGTCCCCACGCGCCAGGCCAGGCCAGGGAACACGAGCCACCTGGGGCCGACAGGATGCAGTTCGGCTCCTCACAGTCCCTGCACGCTGGGCTGGGCTGGGCTGGGCCAAGCAGCACGAACTGCCCAGGGACCTTGCAGTTTGTGCTCCAGGGCCCAGCCTGGCATGCTGGGACTGCATGGAGCCGAGGCGGGCCCTGCCAGCCTTGGGGCTGCTTGTGCTGCCTGGCTGCCAGGAGGCACAAAGAACCCCAGGGCCGGTAGGACCTGGCTCAGCTATGCAGGGCCCCTGCTCCAGTGCAAAGCTGGACTAGTGAGCCTTAGGGATCTCAGCCAGGTCCTC